AATACTTGACATGCTGTTGGAGTGTGAGCAAAGTAACATTTATGAAGGGATTCAGGGAAACCGGCAGGCCAGACTTGAGTCCTGGAGATGGGACATACAGTGTCTGCACTCTGAAGGAGGGGTGTTAATGTTGCAGTTTTATGAACTGTAGTGTAAAGCACCTCTCTGGCAAGACAGTGATGGAGTGAACGATGATGAAAGTTTTTCTTTTTCGGGCCACCCTGCCTTGGTGGGAATTGGTTGATGTGTTAATAAAAAAAAATATTTTTGTCATGTTGGGGTTCGAAATGTGGATTGGGTAGGAACACTCACGTAGGCTCGTTAGTACGTATAATTATAAAGGAAAATATGGGAAGCACAGGCCTGCCCTGGCAGACCAAAACATCATGTAGTTTCCATTACCAATTAGTTATAGTAGTGTCGAAAGTTTTACTAAAGTCAGTGCGGTAGGTAGTAAAGGGGATATTAATTTGTATTTAATATTGTGTAGCTTGTTTTTTCATTTTTATTATGGTATCACTTGTGCTTTTTGGTACTGTATTTGAATTGTATTAGATGGGATTAGGTTTATAGTATTGTCAGGCATTTTATTGTTAAGAATTTATGGAGTGCCACTACTAAAGTGATTTAAATAGCATTGTTATGACTGATACCTGTTCAGTACACATGCACCTTTCTTGTATAAAATTCAGTAGTTGGTATTTCAGCTTGATTAATCATTTACTTTTTTATTGAATTCTATTTCCCTATTTTATTGAATTCTATCTCCCCATTTTATTGAATTCTATTTCCCCGTTTTATTGAATTCTGTTTCCCTGCTAGTCCAATCGTGTTTTTATTCCAAATATTCTAGATGGCCTCATGCTTAACAATATTTTGGTATATCTTTCACAGTACAGTAATTAGTATATGGGGAGAATCCGAAATATTTAAAATTCTGAATGATAGAAAGTGAACACTCTTGTTGAGAAGAACCTTTTTGAGAGAGACTTTTTAAAATTATAATTTTAGATTTTCAGTCTAAATTTTGGAAATAATTCCATATTCAAAATTAAGAAAATCATAATCTTGGAGGGGGGGGGGGGAAAGTTTGATACAGTATTTTCTACCTAAGATTATTGGTGGCTTGTTATAAATCAGGAAACAAAAGAAGTCTTTCCTAGCACTGATCTTAGACATAAGATGAGCTGCCAACTGGAGGATTTGGTCATATGACCAAGGCCTTCTGCTGGCTTACTGGTCGAACCCATTAGAAATTGAACATTCTGAGTATTTGCACATTTTGCTGAGAATAAGATTCCACTTTAGAGAGATTAATAGACTAAGAAAACCTGATAACCAGTGTGATATTTGATAGGGAGGTGGGGGTATTAGAGAGATGGAGTGAATATGTTGAGTTGTTAAATGGTGATGATGAAAAGGAGGTGGTGAGTTTCTGATGAGCATAGGAAAGAGGCAGATGTAAATGAGGAAGTAGCTAGGGTGAAAATGGGTAATACAGCTGAGGTAGATGGAACAGAATCTAAAATACTGAAAGATTGCATGGATATGCAGTACTGTAGTTCTGAAATGATTGGTATATTTGTTCAATACTGTTTATGCATGAAAGAAGGGAAGGTACCTAAAAGATTGGTAGAAAGCATGAATGCTTCCTTTATATAAGGGGAAACTTCTCAAGGAAATTGCTTGATGCCAGAGAGGGGCTCTTGATCCAAGGAATTAAACCTTCCCTTCCCCTCCTTGGATCCAGCCTAAACACCTGCATCCCCCAGGAACTATATGACCTCTGTGCCTTTAATGCTTCCTAGCATGAATGTAGTAAGAATAATAGTAATGTGAGGAAAAGGGCCAAGTGAGTGTGATAGAATTGTGAGGGATAAGTCTTTCCACTTTTTTATTGATCGGTACCTAATGTTTCTGAATTTGTTTCTTTTGAATTGTTTTGCTTGATATTATCTAATGGTTTTATTTTACTCTCTTGATAGCAGTTATCAAAATCCCAAGTAACAGTCCATTCATTTTCAATCCACACCCATACCTCTTTATTCAGTTTGAAGTCCCCCAACTGATCTAGTTAACGCTGCTGTCCCTGACCTAGACAGATGCATCCTATTCCTTGCATACACACAATACCTGCTATACAGTATAAGAGATCTCAGTTGTCAGTGAATGATACTGTAATTTCCTTGCAATACTTGCCTTGCTTTTAAAAGCTATTGGTAATGCCAGTTGCCTTAGACACCCATTTATTGCTGACTCCTCTCCATGACAAAATGCTATACTTCACAGGAATCCCCCCATGTCCTAATTATATGCCATGGTCCTATATCTGGTAAGCATATCTTTTCCACCTTCTCAGCATCAGTTGCTGCAGTACTGAAGCAGATAATAGGGTTGCTGTAATTATCAGTAATGATGTTTCCTAATTTGTTTACTTTATCCTCCTTCCCAGCCACAGGCCTAAAGACACACCCTCTGCCTCTTTCTATCCTTTATGAAAAGCCCTGTGGGAATCCCCAAGAACATTTTTACCTTCATTATTTGCTTTCAATATGTTCTTCTCGATGACCAAAACACATTCGCATGACATTACAGCTAAGGAATTGGTATTTATATTAAAACATATCAGTGATAGTACTTCAATAAAGATAAGGAATTGTTTGTTGCATATGTAAATTTATAAAAAATGCATATTCTGAGTATTATGCAAATGATATAGCTTCTATTGTAAAATACTGAATATGGCATATGTGGGGGAGGGTTATTACTAGCTTTCAGATGGTTTCAGAGGAGAGCAAGGCTCACGTTAGGGTGAAGGGAATTATTTTCCAGTAAAAGTAGATGGATGTGTGATGTCACCATGGTAGCTTAATATACAGTATTTATAAATGGAATTGTAAGAGATGTGAATGCTAGAGTGTTGGAAAGAGGTGTGGGCTTAAAAAAATAATGGCTGATATAATGTGAAAGTTTTCAGTTTCCCTATGCTGATGATGGCACTTTGGGTAGATTTGAAAGAGCAGTTGCAGAGATTTATGGAGTTTAAAAGTGGACATATGAAAGAACAAGTTGATGAGAGAATGAAAATGTCTAAGCAATGAAAATTTTGATGTCAGGCTGGAGTGCAGGTGTATGAAGGAAATTAATGCACTAGATTTAGACATTTGGGAATGAATAAGTTGGCAGATGAATATATGAAAAACGAGGTAAATCATAGAATAGAGGAAGAAAGAAAAAACGTGGTTAAAGCATGAAGGAAGAAGGGAAATATACCAGAATATAGTGGTGCCTAGTTTTGCATGGAAGAGATGCATGGTCTTTGTTGCAGTGAGGAGGCGGCCAGAGGCGGTAGAAGTTCTTTAAGGACGTTGTGTGGCTGTTAATACACAGAAGATATGAAGTATAGAAATTAGAAACTGGTAGCGTGAAAGGCATTCAGATAGAAGAGGGGATGTTGAGGTGGTTTGGTCATTGAGAAAGGATAGGGTAGAATAGGTTGATCAAGAAGGCATATCAATCTTATGTGGATGGAAGGATAGGGTGTGGGCTTATTAGATAGGAGTGAGTGAGAACAGGTGATTTTGGGATGTGCTATTGGTGTGTGAGCAGAGTATCAATTAAGAAGAAATTGAGGGGAAAACTGGGTAGTCAGACTTGAGTTCTGGAGGTGGGAAGTAAAGTGCCTGCACTCTGAACAATGAGTGGAGATGGTGTGGTTTGGAAGGTCATTCGAGTTGTCCTCACATTTCTGGCAAGATAGCTGTTGTATGGCAAATGTGGTTTCTTTAAATCGCCCTACCCTGGTGAGAAACCGCCATGGTTTAATTTTTTTTTTTGCATGCAGCACAATATATATACACTTATAACATGCCTTCTACAGGCATTTAATTAAAATGCTGTGCTCATATCCATTGTTACTATTAACATAGTACTACAGTGTTTATATTAGTGTGGAATCCATTCTTGTGACTTAAATGTATATTTGTGATAATGGACATCAATTTCTTGCACATTACATATGCAAAGTAAATCAAAATTTAAGGTTCCTTTTGTTTCTGGTAGAGAAAGATGAGGGTTCCCAGCTCAGATTAATTCTTATTGTATATTGGTATGCAAGGGTGTTTGTACAACAAAGTACGTAGTATCCTTAACAACATGAATTGGCAAAGGTCACACTTGGTATTAGACATCAGTAGTATGATGAAACTTCACCTTGCTCTGTAAAATGTTCCTTTTCTTACTTCACATGATATTCAGTGCTTGGATTTGGATTTTAGACTGAATTGGAGAGCTTCAAAAGCCTTTGTGTAACCACTGGATGGGTGTGTTACCTACCAATTTAAATATTACCTATTGCTCATATCCACCAAGAATCACTAAATATTTTAAATCCAGAGTTGGAATATTTTTTCTTTATTGGTGTTTCATTATCCAATTCTGGTTACTGCATTTATCAGAAAATAGACATGCTAATGATCTTGTGCAAGAATAAATTCACTACTTTAAAGATAAAGGTTTTGTTTCCTATATTTCATGTTAACTATGCATCTGAAAGTAAAGTTACTTGCAGTTGTTGTTGTTCTATATTATTAGTTTAAAATACACCATGTATTATATAGTACAAGTACTGTACTAGGTTTGTTTCAACTCTGAAGGGCTACCTATGTTACATTTGAGGTTAATTTGGTTGTCAGACTTCATCCCTCTAGCCTAGGATATTTCTTAGGAGATGGACTATAATTCACTAATTACTTATTTGCTCAGGTTCCCAGTTTTTTAATTTTTCATTCTGTCTCTTTCAAGAGTGCATTTACTGCATATACCATTTTTCAGATCTTAAATGGTTATAACCATTTATTTATCATTCATTACACAGTTGCATAGGTATATTTATTAATTGATAAAACCACCATTCTCCATGGGGTAGTGAAACAGAATTCTTCCTCCATAAGCCATGTATGTTGTGAGAGGCAACTAAAATGCCAGGAGCAAGAGGCTAGTAACCCGTTTTTCTGTTTAAATTACTAAATTTAAAAAGAAACTTAGGTTATTTTTTTTGGGCCACCCTGTCTTGGTGGGATACAGCCGGTTTGTTGAAAGAGAAAGAAGAAAACGACCATTAACTCAACATATTTTATATAATAGTTTTGTTAAAAGTAATAGTGGTACACGAGATAAAAAAGTGTCTGACATGTAATTTTGCACTTTTTTTGTGCACCTTTCTCAAAATATACAAAGAAACCAGAAATAGTATATGCTCTGCAAAGCTTGTACATTATTATAATTTATTTGGCACTTGACAAAGAGCCAAAAGTAGTTATTGTTACTAGTCATGTTCTTGTGATAACAATTGGTCTTGGATAATGAAATTTCTCTAACTAAATAGCACTGGAAAATGCAATTTGTGTAATTGGTACATACTGGGAAATAATTTTTACAGTGGGGGAGATCATTTGTAGAAACATTTTGAATGTCATGAATTTGTGAGGTGTCCAGTTTTAACTTTCAGTATGGGACAATAATTCACCATACAGCTATTAAACTTAATGATCTTTAGGTTGCTAGGTGAGATTAAGAGAGAGCTGGCATTATCATTGCTTAATTTGTTCCATACTTAAAGGAAAGTGTGGGAGTATAGCAGGACATATCACTGTATAACCAACTTTAGATTTTCAAGGTGAGATCTTCAAGTACAGTGTGTGTATAAGTGTATTGCATTAATATAGGTAAAACTAATTTTCCATGGAAAAGAGATAACTATCAAATACAACAGGGAGTTATGAATTATCTTATACTGTACAACTAGGGGCTACTAATTATCTTACAAAACAGGGGGAGCTACTGATTATCTCATTATTGTATTCTGTTTCCGTGGTAGAACGTTAGTTTAATGAGCTTCAGTGAATCCAGTGTAAGGATTTTAAATTCCTTAATAGCTATGGCAAGTTTTGATTAAAGTGTGTAAATATCGATCATAATATTTATTTATAAAAGATTTAACAAGAAAACTGATGCTTCATTAACATTCTTCTTTCTGCAAATACAGTAAAGTTTCAATTTAGTTGACTAATATGGAGGAGCAAATGGTTAGTAATAATGGCTATAGTGGACAGAGATGATTTAATAACAGACCAGATTTTGTCCCATGTTTCTGAAGACTGTTAAATTGGGGGTTTACTGTATAAACTGATATTCATGAAACTATGATAATAATTTCTTTTTAAAACTAATGAAAAGAGGGTTTTATTGTGTTCCTGGAAATTGGCGGCCATTTCGACGCTGAGGTTGGTTAGCTGCTTCACTTCCATCTTTGGCAGCTACACGCAAGCGGTGGGGAGCTTCACCAAATCGCTGTGATTCCTTGGCAGACGCTTGACGACGACGTCCACCGGGTTGTCTACCTGGTCTGCGTTCACCATTTGTTGGGGTAGTAGACTCTGCTGGGGCAGAAGGGGCATCTGCTTGAGGTGCAGAGGTAGTGGTGGTGTCAGGAACAGTGGAGGTGGTGGCTGTTGTGGGAGAGGTATCTGCAGTGCTAGTGGCAGTTTCTTCAGTAGTAGGTGTGTTTGTGGTTGACTTTATTTTTTCTGCTAGCTCCTTTTTAAGTTCAGGATGATCTCTTAAAAGTTGCTCAATGGTTACTGGTCGGATGTCTAGTTCTTGAGCACTGACCAGTAGTGCAGCACACCCCGCCAACAGCACCAAGGCAGTCTGCAATGAAACAATGTGTTAACATAGTGCCTACAATTTTATGGGTAAAATTTAAGGTTTGACTGGCATACTAGTGAGAGCACCATCTTCAAGTTGGATTTAAACTGTCAGTGTATTTTTCTCACAGTATGATGATTATATGTAATTAATAAATTCTGAATATTGTTTTAACTACTATAGAACCCTATAACTATAATTGGTTTCTTTTTCAAAGCTCTTGTACCTTCCCTGGAGAAGTTAATATCTTATTGGTAACAAATAGCTCAAAGCTACATTATATACAGTACAATATAATTAATTCTTGCAGTACGTATATGTTTTAAAGAGATATTCTGATGGAGTGTGAGTAGGGTAACATTTATGAAGGCATTCAGAGAAAACTAGTTAGCCAGACTTGAGTTCTGTAGGTAGGAAGGCCAGTTCTTGCACTCTTAAGGACAGGTAGGGATATTGCAGTTTGGGGGGGGGGGGGTAAACTGCAATGGTCATCTTGGCTGGAGGTGACAGTTGCACTAAAAAAAAAAAAAAGTGTAATTCACTTTGTGCAGTACTGTATGCATTATATATGCATTTTTACAAAAGATTACTGTATAGCCTTGTAAAGTCCTCATAAGATTCAGAAATGAAGATGCTGGAATAAAATGAAGCTGCAGTGTGACAGCCATAGTGGTTGAGGACACTAGAAAACCTAAAATATTGTTGTAGTATAGTACCTTTTATAGCCTCCATTAGATCATGTATGAGCTAGTAGGCACAATTTTAATAAGAGGCTGTATCATCTGATACTATATCTAACATTAAAGCATGATTCATTGGAGGTCTTAATAAAAAGAGAAACTTGGAAGTAAAGGTCAACATTGTGTAAGTTTTCCTCAAAGTGGGGTTGCATTCTTCCAGTTTATTAAGAACTACCTGGGAAATAGTGACTGACCTTGTCTTCAAAGTAAGTCATTTTATGGTGTAATAACTTGATGCAGAGATACAGTGGAACCTCGGTATGCGACCTTAGTTCATTCCAGAAGGCTGTTTGAGTGCCACTCCATTTGAGTATCAAACAGGTTCTTCCCAACCAGTTTTCTGTTTGATTGGTTGTTATCACTAATCTTTGTAGGCCCCATGGTGACTTATTTATACAAATAATACAAAAAATGGAAAGAAACACAAAATAGTTTACAGTGAAGTTCTGGGAGGTCATATTTGTTTGGTTGAGTGCTGAGCTTTGTTCAAGTAGGGAGCTGGTTGTATACCAAGGTACCACTGTATATCTACAGCAGTGACTAGGAGAAAATACAGCATACAATATTATATGGTGGGTAATATGTACAGTGTCTGCCATTTATGCTGTACTGCATTGGATTATTGCAGTGTTGTATTATTAATGTTGCAGCTTACCTAGAAACCTGAACTAAATATAAATTCTGACAATTAAATAGAAAGTAAATTCCATATAATTTTATATGGCAGGTTTGCTGTTGGTTTAGTTTTCATTTCTTGTAGGTACCTGGATTAGAGGCATAAAATCTTTCTCTTATACTCTGTATCTTAACCAGACTTCCATTTGATTTTACTGCATATAGGTCAAAACTTTGTAACCAACCAGAACTCTAGCTATTTGCCTTTCTGTTTGCATGCATCTTGTTGCAGGTGAGGTGCATGATGGTGCCAGTAAAAACTTAGTGTGGTAATGTACAACAGAACTAGGATGGAGCTTTAATGGAATTTGTTGATGTGGCAGCAAGGTTGACATCAGAAATAGAAATGTTGGTATTGGTGTGGTGGTGGTGGTTGTTCGGTGCGAATTTGACCTGTGTAGCAAATTAGCAGTGGCATTGATGCTGCTTGGATACTGGGGTGGGGAGGTTGGGGGGTGGGAGCATGGCAGGAGTAGTGGTCACTCTCACTTTCACTGTTGCATCAGTGTATGCCACACCTTCATCCCCTGATAGTTGAGAGTGGAAATTCAGCACTTGGTAATAATGATTTATTCCTGCCCATACAATAGTTAAATTAGTAAAAACAGTTAAAAAAAAATTGCCAGGCAAATGCTTTGTAGTATGGTAGAATATTTGGTTATAATAAATTTGTGGTTAACTTCTCATGGGAGCTTAGAGCAATTGGCATATGACAGGAAATAATTGTTTTATTAATGGTGGGGGTTGAGTGAATCACAGATATGCATCTTCTCCTTTCATTCCCTGTATAAATTATGTCATTGGTGTGCAGAAGAAAGACCAGTGGAGTGTTGCCTCAGTAAGCAGACCATGACACAAGGAAGAGAAAGTGTTGTCGGACAAGTTATTTTTGCCTTGTTCATGGCAGTCACGGAGTCTGCAGTCACGCCCTGCTTTTTCCACCACCCCCAATCATTGGTCACCAGCTGAATTCCAGTACTTTATTGCCTGGCAGGTGTGTACGATGTGGCTTTTCCATGGGTGGTGTCTGTTGTGGTTTGGCTGTAGGTTGGCAGAGAACAATAGGCCTTTTATAGTCAAGTTCTTGTTTAGGCAAGTCTTACTCATCTTGTGTGTGAGTTTTAAATATTAAGACACACAATAGTTCTAGAA